TGTGGGGCGGAGGATTACTAGACATCATAATTTCCAAAAAGTTATATTTATACATAGCTGCGTTTTGAGATTTTTCAACTTTGAAAGAAGTTTTCCAAAAAGAAAGGCTAAAATGTTGTTAAACGTTTGGAGACTGACTTAAATCTGTTGCAGTGTGTATGGGGTCTGGAGTGAATTGTTGGTGCAAGATGAGAAAGAAAAAAAACTGCCAGTTTTGATAAGTCTAATTTTCTAAAAAAAAAAAAAAAAAAAAAAATTGCAATTTGCTGCAACATTTGGATGGCTGTGTAAGAATGTGGCAGAAACAACATGCAAGCATGAGCTCATCTTGCCTTGTATCAGGGGTTCAGGCTGCTGCCTGTGTAATGGTGTGGGGGAAATTTTCTGGTCACATTTTGAGCCTCTTTATATGCTAAAGACCCAGCCTGCATCCGCAATCTCATACTTCCCCATTATATAGTATGTTGGGAATGTACAGCATGGGAGGCAAGTAGTATGTTTGAAAGGGTGGCACAGTGGCTCGGTGGATAGCGCTGTCACCTCACAGCTAGAAAGTCGCTGGTTTGAGTCCCAGCTGGGCCAGTTGTTATTTCTGTGTTTGCATAATCTTGGAGTGGGTTTCCTCCGGGTGCTTCGGTTTCCCCCACAGTCCAAAGACATGCGCTATAGGTGAATTGAACAAACTAAATTGGCAGTAGTGTATGTGTGTGAATGACTGTGGATGGATGTTTTCCAGTACTGGGTTGCGGCTGGAAGGGCTGTGGCGATCCTTGATAAATAAGGGGACTAAGCTGAAGGAAAATGAATGAATGAAATTAAACGTAGTGGATGAGTGCATGTGAATGTGTGTATGGGTGTTTCCCAGCAATGAGTTGCAGGCTGAAAGGGCATTCAATGCGTAAAACATACAGTATGCTGAAATAGTTGGCGGTTCATTTCACTGTGGTGACATCTGATAATAAGCGACTAAGCTGAAGGGAAATTAATGAATAAAAGAATGAATGAATGAATGAATGAATGAATGAATGAATGAATGAATGAATGAATGAATGAAACTGAATTTAGTGTATGTGTGTGAATGAGAGTGTATGGGTTTTTCCCAGTAATGGGTTGTGGCTGGAAGTCTATCAACTGCGCAAATCATATGCTGGAATAGTTGGCGGTTCATTCCACTGTGGTGACCCCTGATAAATAAGGGACTAATGAATGAATAGTATGTCTGAATTCACAATGGATGCTATGCTATCCCATGATGCCTTTCGAGAGAATTCATGAATGTAAGTGAAGCCATGCAACTGACATGGATGTGATAACGACAAAGGCGGATCTACAGTAGAACATTCAAATACTACAACATTCAACATTCAATAAATTTTAGATTAAATGTAGTACATATTCAAGTAGTAGGCGATTTGAAACGCAGCTCCTGTTTCTGTTTGTGAATGCTGATGATCTTTTCAATATAGAAGGAATGAAATGCAGACTTTTAAATTGAAGGTAGAGCTATTCACCATCTCTCTAATTGGCCTTTATGACAGCCTGTCTGAGTATTATGATTGAGCATGTCCATCTGCTTATAACCACAATGTGCCTATCATGTCAAACTTTTAGCACGATAATAACATGTCATGTCACAAAGCTTCAATAATCTCAAATTGGCTTCTTGAACATGAGAATGGAGTTCACTAACTCATTTGGCCTCCAGATCTCAATCCAATAGAGTATTTTTAGGATTGTAGAAGGACTGGATATTTGCCTTATGGGTAGAATAGAATAGAATAGAATAGAATAGAATAGAATAGAATAGAATAGAATGCCTTTTATTGTCACTGTACACATATGTACATTATATACATGTGCAAAAAGATTAAATAAAGATGTGCAGTCAAAAAAATCTGCAACAACTTCTGATGCCTTCATGCCAATACATACCAAAAGGTTTCTAGCATCATGTTAAATCTATGCAATAATATAAAAAATATAGCAACAACTACCTGGGTAGGGATTTTGCGCTCTATCCTAATGCTAAAAGTGTCTTATGAATATATTACCATCTGACTTTTACCTCAATTTACCTCATATGTCAAGACATGAGCATTAAAACTGAATTTAGAGTGAACAAACAAGTGTATCCCTTGACAAAGATGATATCAATTATTTAGCATGTGCTTTTAGCAATGTTAAATTTTTTTATATTTAAATATTTATTCTTTAATGACATTTATTTTGCTGCAAAAGGAAGATTTTGTGATTTCTTGTTGCAGGAATCTTATTGCATAACGGTTTCATGATTATTGTTGAGATTCATATTGCTGGAAATTTCGGTTTGACAATAACCATGCTACTACAAATAAAGATAAATTCCTATCAGTAAAATCTTTTATATGAACAATATCCTGTTCAAAAACATGTCTAGGAATAAAACATCCTAAAAAAATAAATAAATAATAAATAAATAAATAAATAAGATACTCTGATAAGAAAGATAAATATGTAAACTGCAAGAAAAGCTCACTTATCAAGACAGACACATTTGATGTTTCAATGTTAAAATAGATGTACAAATGAATAGTTTAAAACAAAATGTACAACAATATTCTTTATCGTAGACATTGTAATAATTACATGATATTATTTAAATATATTACAATAACTTTTTAATAATACAATTCATTTAAAAAAAATTATTTAGCATTACATTGTTTATATTATATTATATTACATTATATGATATTAAAATAAACTACAATAACTTTTTAGTAATTAAATTATCATATTTTATTATACATTTTATTTTAATTTATTTCTTATTTAATATTATATTATATAATATGCCAATTTTATATATTATATTATATTATTTTATTATATTATATTATATATTATTTTAAAATATATTACAATACATTTTTTATAATTTTATTTGTATTCCATTTTATAATTCATTCATTCATTTTCTTTTTGTATTCGTTTTTTTTTTTTCTTTTAATCAAGGGTCGCCACAGCGGAATGAACCGCCAACTTATCCACCATTTGTTTTACACAGTAGAAGCCCTTTCAGCTGCAACCCATCCCTGGGAAACACCCATACACCCTTTTGTTCACACATATGCACTAAAGACAATTTAGCTTACCCAATTCACTTATAGCGCTTGTCTTTGGACTGTGGGGAAAAGCGGAGTGCCTGGAGGAAACTCAAGCAAACACGGGGGAAACATGCAAACACAAATGCCAACTGACCCAGCCGAGGCTTGAACCAGCGACATTCTTGCTTTGAGGCGACAGACGGTGCAACCCATTATGGTACTGTGTTGCACCGATGTTATATTAATTATTATATTATATTATATTATATTATATTATATTATATTATATTATATTATATTATATTATATTATATTATATTATTAATAAGCTCATCAAACAATCATGAAGCTTCTGAGAGACATATTTACCAGTATATGAAATAGTGGCAATAAATGTAAACAAATAAATAAATTAACTTCAAAAAAGGAGATAAAACTAAATACAACATTATAACGAACATGAAGTTCCTCTGTGGCCTTCCTTAACTCTTCAACTTGTGTGACCGCAGAGCTGAGGAGGAGGCAAAGAAAATAAAACACAAAGGAGTGCACTTCTCAAATACCTTGAACCTCCACCTTCAGGGAGGAGGTAGATAATTCCTCCTCTCAGTAAAAACAAATTACAAAGGCATTTTTTCATTCCTGTAGCTGTAAGCCTTTAAATAAGCACAATGTCTGACTCTGAGGTGAGGATCACAGTAGGGGAACTGGCTAATATTGCCAATCTGGCTGAGACAAATCTTACTTTGTTACTGTTAATTATGCCTCGTCTAGAGGGTTTTAATGTATGCCAAATCAAAAAGCTGGTGCATCCCTCATTGCCAACATTTTTAGCTATTGCTTTTTTCCTATTTTCAGTTTTAATTTCAAACATAAGGGCAACACGGTGGCACAGTAGTTAGTATTGCCGCCTTCAGCAAGAAAGTCGCTGGTTCGAGTCCCAATTGGGTCTGTTGGCATTTCTGTGTGGAGTTTGCAAGTTCTGCCTGAGTTGGTGTGGGTTTACTCTGGGTGCTCTGGATTCTCCCACACTCCAAAAACTTGTGTCATAGGTGAATTAAATAAACTAATATGGCCATAGTGTGTGTTTGAATGAGTGTTTATGGGTGTTTCCCAGTACTGTGCTGGATTAGTTGGTAGTTCATTCCGCTGTGGCAACCCCTCATGAATACTAAGCTGAAGGGACTAAGCTGAAGAAGAATGAATGAATCAATGATACCTTAGACATAACTCATTGTTATTCGTTATTATTGTTCCTTTATTCGCTTGCTGGAAATTAGAACTCAATTTATTAGTTTTGAAGCAAATGAGCCTAACAAACTAAATTAAATATGTAGGCTTATGGACGTCTTCAGTGTAGTGCGTACAACACCATTTCCTTATTCACGAAAGTAAAAAAGTAAAATAAAGAGTACAAGTAAAGAGAAAGTAAAGAAGCTGAAAAGAGGAGGCTCGTTCTTTATCCTTGTGCTGCAGATGGTTTGTTTAACTGTTTACTCCCTAGTGAAGCATTCAGTTTTCACACTAACAAAATCCGCCATGTAAATAGCAAATGCAACACAACTGACTCTTAAAGGGAATGGGAGATGAGACTTTGATTGGTTTGATGCACGTTATGCTCAAAACACAGCCAGACCTCATTAAGAGAATAAACACAACCCTGTTAGACCATGCATCAGGGCGCAGAGTCAATTTTTAGTCCTAAAAATATTCGGACATGCTCTTAATGCTTTTGTGCCATGCGCTTTAGACTTTGCGCCTAGATCACTAAAGTAGAGGCCATTATGTTTAAAAATTTATCTAAAAAATCTTCTTTCCATAAACAGAAATTGGGGTAAAATAAACAGGGGCTAATAATTCATTCAGGGCTAATTATTCTAACTTCAACTGTAAATAAATACAGTAAATATTTACCTCTTATCTTGAGCTCCCAGTTACCATCTACGAACAGGAACTTCTGGAGAGGAATACGTGGAAAACCTGCACATTTGAGAAAAAAAAATAGAAAAAGCTGTGTGAGAATCTTGTACAATTTTGAGCAAACAAAAAAAAAAAAAAAGAAAAAGAAGAGCGCTCATTTCAGTATGTAACAAGGCACTCCAGAGCGCTACACACTGAAGACATGAGGTATATGAGTGCAAGGGCTTGTTAAAGCCTTTGTGAACTAAGAAATCAGATTTTCCCTTGATCGTTCTGGTCAAGACTGGTCAACTTCCTTAGTGTTTAACAAAAGAAAGAAATGAAACAGGTTTGGAAGAAGTGAAGGGATAATGCATGATGACAGAATGTTAATTTTTTGGATGAACTGTCCCTTTAATGTCTGCAAGACTGTTGCTTCCTCTCAGTCTGCTGTTTTCTCCTCAGAGGAAAAGAACATCTGAGAGAGAGCGAGAGACTGAGAGAGGAATATGTCTTTACTGACAGCTGAAGCATTAAATGTGTTCAATCTATGCTTTCTGGGCTCTGAATGACAAAACTGAAGGTCTCACACACTCACGTTAGTAAAAATGGACAGTGCGTAATCAAATGATTGGTTAACTGAACATGTAAAATGAACACTCTGGTTTAATCAGTCAAAGTAAGTGAAAACTGCTGTACATTTCTTCAGAAAAACAGTATTTGAGGCATTCCGGAAGCTTCTGCCATGAAGTAACGCTGACATTGACTTTAGAACTGTCACTGAAATGTTTTCATTTCAAATTTTGTAACACATAAGTTTAAGGACCAATTCTCACTATTAATTAGTAGCTTATTACCTGCCTATGAGATATTGGCTGTTTATTAGTGCACATTCTGCATGATCTGCACTACGTGACAAAAGATTTGTTGCCTATTTAAGTTTTAGGAACAACAAATAATAACTTGACTTTTAGTAGATCATTTGGTATCAAAAGTGGCGTATATGAAAGGCAAAGGCCTCTAGATAATGCTTATTTTACCAAAATAAAACATGATCATACCTTGATTTTAACTATTTAATTACGACAGTAAGATCTGACTTTGATAGATAAGTTTTGCCAATTAACAGGAATAATGTACAGCGACTCTAATAACTTATTAATAAAGTCATCTGGAATGGCAAAGAAAGCATTCTTGCAGGACTTGCAGAGTTCATCAAGATTATTTGGATTCATCTTCAATGCCTCCTTCTTTATCTTTCCTCATACATGCTCAATAATGTTCATGTCTGGTGACTGGGCTGGCCAATCCTTGAGCACCTTGACCTTCTTTGCTTTCAGGCACTTTGATGTGGAGGCTAAAGTATGAAAAGGAGCACTATCCTGCTAAAGTATTTACCCTCTCCTGTTTTTTGTAATGTAATGGGCAGCACAAATGCCTTGATACCTCAAGATGTTGATGTTTCCATCCACTCTACAGATCTCTTGCACACCCCCATACTGAATGTAACCCCAAATCATGATTTCTCCTTCACCAATATTGACTGATTTCAGTGAGAATCTTGGGTCCATGTGGGTTCCATTAGGTCTTCTGTAGTATTTGTGATGATTGGGATGCAGTTCAACAGATGATTCATCAGAAAAATCGACCTTCTGCCTCTTTTCCAAATGATCAACTAGAAGTCAAGTTATTATTTGTTGCTCACAACTGGGATCCACAACAAGATTTTTTTCAAGTGGTGTACATCCCTAATCCTCTCCAACACCTAAACCCAACTAATAAATTAATAACTAAACTGAAAAAAAAAAAATAAATGTTGCAAACAATTAATTTGGGCTGAATTTAAAACAACAAATTAAATTAAATAATGTTCAGCTTAATTTGTTTGTTTAAATTCAGCCCAAATAAATTGTTTGCGAACCCTTACCTTAAAAAAATTGTAAATAAAATGAATAATTTTTATTAATATTATTAATCAGCAAATTTGGAGTTAATTAAAGCAAATTCATTCTTTATAGTTAATTAACACTTAGAACTGTATCTTAAATTGTGACCTAAAATGTTATTATATTATAAATGTATTAAATGAGTACAAAAACTATAGTCTGAAGCCCTGATTTTGCTCCTCTAAAAAGATACAGGCAGCTTCAGTCAATTTTGGCTGTGCATTGAGTCTGCACTGCACAAGACGTGAGCAGAGCTCAAAACCTGTATTTGCCAAGCACCAAAAGTAAATGAAGTTGCTCGCCAGTTGGCAGGTAACTTTATTTGAAACCGCATGTTATAAATCACATTGTAAGAATGAGACTCAGCGTTCTCTTATGTAAGAGACGAGTTTGATTCATATTAAACCATCTGCTGAAGAAAATACACATGACTCCTAAAAACATCGAGGATGAATGCAAAAGGTTTTTTTTTTTTCTCTTCAGAGCGCCATGTGGCGTCACATATGTGGATTATTCTTTGCACTTGAAGTATAAAATGACAGGGAAATGAAACGCTTCATGTTTTTGTGCAGTTTCACAGACAGATGGGGAACAACTTGTTTACAACGCTGCAGTTTGTCACCAATGTACAAGCAGAAAACAGCAGTATTTAAACCAGATTCATTCATTCATTTTCTTTCCGGCTTAGTCCCATTATTAATCAGGGGTCGCCACAGCGGAATGAACCGCCAATCCAGCATATGTTTTACGCAGCAGATGCCCTTCCAGCTGCAACCAATCACTCGGAAACACTCATACACTCATTAACAGACAAACACTATGGACAATTCAGCCTATCCAATTTACCTACAGTATAGCGCATGTCTTTGGACTGTGGAGGAAACTGAAGCACCCGGAGGAAACCCACATGAACACAGGGAGAAAATGCAAAATCTACACATAAATGCCAACAGACCCAGCCGAGGCTCGAACCAGCGACCTTCTTGCTGTAAAGCGATCATGCTACCCACAGCGCCCCCGTGACGCCTAAAAAACAAATAAAAAAATACTGTGTAATATCTAAAGTTTATTACAATATAATTTAAATAAAATATAATTGACCAAATTATTAGAAAAACATTATAAAATAAAACTTCCACACCTGCACACTAGAAAGCGATTAGTTACCTATTAGTAGGCTCACACAAAATCTGCGCGCGCAGAATTCCGCAGATTTCTAGCCCATCATTATTCTATTTATTTACATGAGTAAATGTGTGTAAATCTATATTTATTCAGTTTTTAAATTAATTTCAGTAATATTATTGACTAATGTAAAAATGTTTATCTGATTTATGTACAATGCAGTTTGTAAAGTGTTATTTTCTGTCTTTTACTAAATATATTACATGAGATACTTGCTTTGTTTACCAAATAAAATTAATCTAACTGGATTTGCATTTTAAACATTAAATAAAAGTTTAAAAGATTTTTTTTCTTAAAACATTAAGGTTTTAGTTATAATATTCCCAAAATAATACAGCAAAAATCTGCACTTTTTTTTTTTTTTTTTACCAAAATTCTCCACAGAAATAGCAAAAAATGTCTGCAGATTCCGTCTGGCCCTACCTATTAGTTAGTTTAGTTACCTAAACCCATTAGTTAAGATATGACAATATTTGGTGGAGATCCAATATGAAAATCTGGAATCTGATGGTTTAAAAAATGTAAATATTGAGAAAATCACCTTTAAAAGGTATCACATTAAGTTCTTAGCAATACATTTTACTGATCAAAAATTAGGCCTTAATATATAATATAATATAATATAGATATAATATATGACAAGTCAACTTTAAGCTACCTATAAAAAGTTTACTTGACTTAATTTTTGTAATTATGCACAGTTTATATGCTAAATCATTTTAAACTTACTCAATTTTTAGGTAAAGTCAACTAATCACTTTTAACATTAATCTATGATGTCTTTACTATGTGTGGTAATACCACTTTTCACACCTAAAAAACCTGTCCGGGTGTTGCATAATCATGAAAATAATTGCACAGCTTAGAAAGTCATCACTCATCAGCCAATCCGAAACAAGCATTCACCAGACCAATTGTATAATACAATATAATACTTTACAATACAAATATAATATAATATAATATAATATAATATAATATAATATAATATAATATAATATAATATAATATAATATAATATAATATAATATAATATAATATAATATAAGAAATTACTTTCACAATTCCTACTAATTTAATGTAAACGATCAGCCAGAACATTTATCCAGTATATATATACAGTTGGAAGTCAGAATTATTAGCCCCCTTTTGATTTTTATTTTCTTTTTTAAATATTTCCCAAATGATGTTTAACAGAGCAATGAAATTTTCACAGTATGTCTGATAATGTTTTTTCTTCTGGAGAAAGTCTTATTTGTTTTATTTCGGCCAGAATAAAAGCAGTTATTAATTTTTTAAAAACCATTTTTGGGACATAATTATTACCCCTTTTAAGCTAATTTTTTTTCCGATAATCTACAGAACAAACCACCGTTATACAATAACTTGCCTAATTACCCTAACCTGCCTAGTTCACCTTATTAACTTAGTTAAGCCTTTAAATGTCACTTTAAGCTGTACAGAAGTGTCTTGAAAAATATCTAGTAAACTATTATTTACTGTCATCATGGGAAAGATAAAATATATCAGTTATTAGAAAAAAAGTTTTTAAAACTATTATGCTTAAAAATGTGCTAAAACAATCTTCCCAGAACAGAACAGAAATTGGGGAAAAACATAAACAGGGCCGCTAATAATTCTGACTTCAACTGTATATAGAAATCTTTGTATATGTTTTGCCACACAGAACACTATCTAATCATAATCATAATAACACTGTCTTGATCAACGCTGAGCACCAGCCAATCCCATTGAGCGTCTACAGGGCTTCATTCACGGTCAAACCAAAACGGCACATATTCCTGCACATTTCCAACACAAATGACTTTAGAAAGCCAGCCAGGATTAAACCCACAGGGGGCTGGGATTACGTAATCTAGCTCTCGTTGGACAGGGGGTCATGCTAAGATAAGAGGGAATCCATGTAGAAAACCGCGCGCGACAGATGTT